GGCCTGCCCGCGCAGCGCTCCGTGGGCCCACCGCTACCCCTCTGCCCCGCGGCCCCTACCCTCCCATCCCGACCCCGCGCCGCCCCTCGCTACAGACGAGGCGCCAGGCGTGCCCAGGCCGAGCGCGCTGCTCACAGCCCCCGAGAGGCCCTGGGGTGGGGCAGGAAGAAGTGAGACCACCGCATCCCGCGCACACAGCAGCACCCCAAGAGAGCACGGCCGGCCCAGCGGGACACGCCCTGGCCCTGGGCACCGTTTCACTGAGGTACTGCCAGCCAGCCCCATTTTACAGACGGAGAAACTGAGGCCCAGGGAGGGGTGGGAAGCTCCCCAAAGCCAATGAGACCAGAAAGCGGGCCGCCTGGACCCCATTCCTGGCCCTGCCCCTCCCGGTCACGGGGCCTCCGTCTGCCCACCTATGACATAGGCCTATGCAGCGCCCACCAACTCCAGCAGCCGAGGGGCCCCCGCCAGGCCAGGTCCCATACAGGGGACACACGTGCCGCGGTGGCAACGGGCCAATGTGGCCCCGACATTTGTTCCAGGTCAAAGCGGCACCTGCCTCCACGTAACTGCAACCACCCGAGACGCAGTCACACGGGGGGGAGGCCCTTTCCTGCTCCAGGACATGCCCCGGGGTCACTCTGTGGTGTCAACACAGCTCTGCTGCCCTGGACGTCTCCACCGGAGCGCCCCCGTGCGCAGCCCAAGCAGGAGTGTCTGGCTGGCTCGTGCCCCACACTCCCCATGCCCAGCTGGGGGTCCTCGGAAGGCAGAGTCTGGGACAGAGTCCTTATGAGGACCCCAGAATCACCCGGCTCAGGGCCAAGGATGGGACAAAAGAGCATAATCCTCGAGGAAGCACATGAATCCAGGACCCTGCTTCCAGGAAGCCTCCCTGGCTATGCCCAGAGCCTGTGGGATGCTGGGACTGTGGCGTGCGGGGCACAGCCACACCCCCAAACCCCAGGACCCTCTGCCCCTGGAGCTGTCGGAGCTGCCGCCACTCGAGCCTGGGTGACCCGCTCTAGGCCTGTGGGGGTGGGGGGAGAGGCAAGCACGGGGCCACACAGCTGCCAGGCCAGGAACAGAGCGGCCATTCAGCCTTGACCCTTGTGCCCGGCCCCAGGGGCCTCCTCACTCCACCCCAAGGCTAGATGGCGTGGGGACACTGGGGCACGGCAGCTCAGCCCTTCCGGGGAGGGGAGCCAGGCTCAGAGCTGGCCGGACCTGGGTTCCAGTGCTGGCCCGGCCACCTGTGAGCTGGGCACGCCCGGGGCAGGTGACTGCCCCCTCTGAGCCTCAGTCTCCTCATCTGTAAGGTGGGGACGATCCAGGCCCACCTCCTGGCACGGTTGGGAGGGATGGCTTGACAACAGCCCGAGTGCAGTGACCAGATGAAGACAAGCACCCCAGTGTGGGGACGGACCCACGCCAAGCCCCTACCGACCGTGGGCCATCCCCGGGCCCACAGCATGCACAAATCCCACGCACACACTCGGCCCTCACGCACTGCCAGGCGCAGAGGGTAGGCACAGACCCAGCCTGGCAGCCGCAACTCCCCTAACCAAAGCCTCTGCCCCCCCGCCCCTCCCCCAGCTCCGGGGACAGGACATGGGTGTGGCTGGCGCCTGGCCGGAGTTGCTTGGTCAGGTGCTGGGCTCACTTTCTGGAAACCTAAGACCTGAGCAAAGTCTCCCTTTTGGGGAGAACGGCCTCTTCCCCTCATCCCCCCGTGGCCTGGGGAGGGCTGACGCCGCCTGGGCAGAGGGGCACCCGAGAGCCGAGACCAGAGCCGGGGAGACTGTGCTCTCCACCTCTCCGTACAGAGGGTGTACCAGCAGCGGTGCTGAATGCTGGGTGCGCAGCAGCTCTCCGGCTCCCGCGGCGGCCCCGGCACCGAGCTCTTGGGGTCCCTGCTTCACGTGGGGCAAAGCAGACCCCAGGTCCGCGGGGTCACAAGCAGCAACCGACCTCCTGGGCCCAGAGAGCCTAAGCTGGCAGCCCCCGCCGGCGCACGAAGGCCCCGGAGCCCCACGAGGAGGACATCTGCCTTCCCTGCGGCCAGGGCTTCTGAGCCACCCGCAGACCCGAGTCAGGAGACCCAGGGGCCTCCGGAGTGGCGCGGCGCGGCCCCTCCTGCCGCAGGGTGGGCGCGGGGGGGACGGGGGCTGCCCAGCGCCGCCCGGAGCCTCACCCGTCAATGATGAGCTGGTCGTAGGGGGCCGGCTTGTCGCACACGGGGCACATCCAGGTGGGCTTCTTCTCGTTCATCTGGAGGTAGAAGACAGCGTCGAAGCACTGCAGGTGGGCGCAGGTCTCCGCCCGGCAGGGCACCGACAGCCGCATCTTCACCAGCTGCGGGGAGGGAGCGGGTGGCGTGAGTGGCCCCCTCCCCCCCGGGCGGCCCCACGCTGCGGGCAGGTGGGGAGCAGAGGACGCGCACAGCCCGACTCACCGGGCAGATGAGGGAGACCCGCACGCCGGTGGTGGCGATCTCGCTGTCGGGGTCCAGACGCAGCTTCTCTTTGACTGCGGAGAAGGGGGCAGCCGTCGTTAGCAGAAGGGACAGAGGCGTCTGCAGGGTCGGAGCCAAGACGCAGGCTTTTCCAGCACCCGCGGACGCCGGGGAAGGCAGCGGCAAGCACCCTCAACCCCTCCATCTCAGGAGGAAGACGGTCCACACACGGAGCACCCCAACATCCACCTCCCAGGATGTCGAGATGTACATTTTAGCTCCAGGGCCCAGGGCCACGAGGATCACCTGTGAAAGTGTCCTGGGCAGCGGCCGGTAATTTTGGACAACCTGGCATGCCGATGGGGCAAGCCGACCCGACAAGCCCCCTCTGCTGCCCGTTTTCACAGCCCATGGGCCTCTTTTGGAAGAAAGATGGAGGCAACCGACAGCCGCAGACGGGGCTGTTCGCTGGGACTGTGTGTCCCACACCAACCATCCCGGAGGGCTCAGCGAGAAGGAAGATGGGCCGCTCCAGGATGGTCCTGGCGGCCCCTTTCCCGGACACCCCCAACCCTGGCAGGAGCAGGAGTGAGCCCACGAGCACGGCCTCTCGGGTGACCTGAAGCCAAAGGTCTCGTGGAAAATGCCCGCAACAACACACAAGGCCCCCTTCTTGCCGGTGAACACGGCAGGAGAGAGACTGGAAGGAAATGCGCACGAGCAAACCCTGAGGCAGGCCCACAAGGAGGAGTGCGGTCTCCCTCCCTCCGGACCCTTTCGTTCTGCATTTGTTCTGCTCTCGGTGGGAATGGGGAGACTGGCTGACAGACCCCCGGAGGGCTCAGGACAAACGGAGCCTGGAGCTGCCCCTCCTTCCTCCATGTAACCCCTGCAGCCCCTCCTCCAGAAGCTTCCTCTTCCCTCCCACACAGGGTTGAGGGGGCCTAGGCCCACCCCTCTCCCCAATGTCCCGAAGGCCGCATCAGCTGTTCACACCTTCACGTGAATCCCCACCTCAGGCCTGCCTCTCTGGCCAAACGCCAGTGATGGACTCAGGTGCATCTGGTTTTGAAGTGAGGCCCCCGTCTCCCCACCCGACAGAGAGAAGGTTGGGTGCAGCAAGAAGACTACAAGTGAGACAAACACAGGACTTCCCGCAGCAACTAAAAACCCAGCAGCCGGTGACCCAGCCTGCGGGTGGCTTCCGAGAGGAAACTGAACCGTCGGCGCCAAGCAGGGGCCCGAGCGGTCCCACACACACCACTCCCTTTAGCCCTGCGGACCCCCGCCTCTCCCAGACTTCCGCCAGACCTCTGGGTGCCCTGCCCCCACCCTGTGGGCCTCGGCCTGGATGAATCCTACCTGGCCCCCACGCCAATGCCTGCCCCCTCTGGTCAAGTCGGTCATTGTCCCCACAGGGAGATGGGCAGGTGGGGGGCTGGTTTTGAAGAAAGGGCTCTTTGAGGGAAAGAGGGAGGCGGTGGGGTGCACAGGCGGGAGCCCTGCCACTCTGCGCCTCAGGGTCCCCAGTGGTCAGATGGGGACATCGCCAAGTCCCTCGGCCCAGGACTACTGTGAGGATCTGGTGAGAAGGTGCAGTGACCAGAGAGGGCCAGTGACTTGCCTAGGGCCGCACAGCCAGCGCATGCACAGACACGAGCCAAAACACAGGACCGTCTTGGCAGTGGTTCACTTTCAGCGCTTACTACGTGCCCCCCACCACCCCCAACACAGCTGGTCTGGTCTCAGGTTGGATTCCATCACTCCCCAGTACCTCCGGCTGTGAATTGGGTCTGCTCCTGCCCCCGTGTCCCTGGTCCCTGCCCAGCAGTCAGAAGCAACGGCCTCCAGCCCCCATCCCCCAGGATCTCTCCCACCTCGCTGCTGTGGGGATGACCCCCATGTGCTCGCCCTGCCCACATGCCAGACCTGCCCCTGGCTCTCACCACCCAGGCTCCCTGGGCTGGAGGGCCTGCCTCCCGCGTCCCTGCCTCAGGGCTTCTGTGCTGGCTGTTCTGCTCCCCCTCCTTCCACATCCCCCGGGGTGACACATGGGCCCACCAGCTCACCCAGCGCCTTGCACAGCTCTGGATGCTTGACCCCAATGGTTTTCAACCTCTGCAGCAGTTCTGAAGAGGTCAGTTGCCGCACCAAGTACAAGGCCACGGAGTAACTCTGGGGACAGAGGTGGGGGAGGGGTGGTGAGGCCGAGGAGGGGCGGCGGGGGGGGGGGTGGTGCAGGCAGGAGGCAGGCCCGCCCCACTCACCTTGCCGTAGTTCCCCCAGGTCACGGTGATGCGGTTGGTGGCCGAGGACAGGTACATGAGGTGGGTGAGGTTGATGGGGCGGCAGGGCCTCTTGGGTTCCACTCCAGGCTTATTGGAGGGGTAGTAACCCTGGAAGCAGACGCGGGGGCTCACACCTCGGAAAGAGGTTCCATGGTGCCCTCTCTGCCCCACCCCCACAGTGGCCCAAGGCTGCGGTGGGGGGGGGGGCCCACAGGGGGGGCACTCACCGGGACCGAGCAGTAGCTGTGGTTGACCTTCACGGCAATGTTGGGTGGGTACTGGTCCTCCTGAGGGCCGCTGGTGTCTGAGTAGCAAATTCTGCAATAACAACGTGGACCGTGAGGCCAGCAGGGGCTCTGGCCAGAGGGGTGGCCCTGAGAGGGGGATGGGTGCAAGGCCGGCGTGGAGGCCACAAGGGCCATTTCTGCCCAACAGATGCATCGCCGTTCTGGACCGTACGAGGGGCTCTCGGGGCCCCAGATCTGGTCTGAGCAAGGCTGGGCGGTGATGTGTCCACAGGCAAGGATGGACAGCAGGAAGAGAGGAGGAGCAGGCCTCCACCTCTGAACCGGGGAGAACCAGAGAAGCCGTCAGGAGGGAGAGAGGCCCGACTGGGATGCACCTGGGGTGGACAGGGCAGGGCTACGGGCACTGGGGGATGCGGGCAGGCCCAGGCTCACCTGAGGACGACCTGCACGGCCTTGATCCCGGGCTGCAGCTCTCTGCACATGCCGAGGAAGCAGAGGGGAGAAGGGGGGTCAGTGAGGCAGGAGAGCACCCAGCACGGCACGCTGATCACTTCGCCTGCGCTAGCCAGACAGGTTCACCTGCTACCTCCCTTGGCAACCGAAGGTCTCTGGGCGCTGACTGAAACGTTCTCTCCTGTTTACTCACTGGTGACTTGGGCAGATGACCTCCCCCTCTGTACAACCGGAGGGGAGTGTCCACGCGGATATATGTAATAGGTCGGTAGGCAGAGACCCAGCATGTGCCAAGTGGGCAACAAACGGCTGCTCCAGACAGAAGGGCCTCGGGCAGCGGACACCGGGAATGCCTCTGACCCTCAGCTGTTACGGCTCGGGGTCTTCATCAGGGAGATCCTGCCCCGGCAGGACCCCAGGCAGTGTCTGGGGACAGCTACAGCCATCACAACTAGAGGAGTCCTGCCATCAAGTGGGTGGGGCCAGGGATGCTGCTCAGCCCCCATGCCAACAGTGCCAAGGGGAGCTCTGTTAAAGCGGGGGCTGCGGATCAGAGGCAGCGAGAGCATGCAGACGGGGCGCACTGCCCAGTACACACGGCAGGTGCCGAGCACAGGGCGGGGGCAGGGCTTCCCCTCCCCCCACCGCGGAGCGCAGGGCCCACATCGGGTCTGCAGAAGGCGCCCCTAGCCCAGCCCTCTAGACGGCCCCAGACCATGCCGGCCCACCGCCTGCCGCGGAGGCCAGCAGGGGTGCGGGGCACAGCGCACCTGGAGTTCCGGATCAGCTCCACTTGCCTTGGCGTCAACGCAAAGATGCATGGGCTCTCCTGAAGCTTCTCGTTATTCTGTGGAACTAAAGACAAACTCAGGGTCAGGGTGATGTCTGGTCCCCAGTGAGGGAGCCAGCCACACCCATTTCCAGGGGCTGGACCCTCCTCAGACCCGGAAGCAGTGAACAGGAGGCTGAGCCTCACCCAGGCAGCCAGGCCTGTGGGATGGAAGCAGGGCCGCTGGGGACGAGGGTGCAGGGGAAGCCCAGCCCTTCCTGGTGCCACACCACAGCCTATGATTCAGGGAACACCCCTAACCCCGGAAGGGCCTCTTGGGAAGCAGCAAATTTCTTAGCCCTCTGGGGTTCAAGGGTCTCTAAGGAAAACAGAAGCGCTCAGCCTGGGCACCTGGGTGGCTCAGTTGGTTAAGCGTCTGCCTTCGGCTCGGGTCATGATCCCGGAGTCCTGGGATCGAGTCCCACATCGGGCTTCCGGCTTAGCGGGGAGCCTGCTTCTCCCTCTGACCCTCTCCCCTCTCACGCTGTTTCTCTCTCTCTCAAATAAATAAAATCTTAAAAAAAAAAAAGACGCGCTCAGCTCACGGAGAGGAGCCTGGCGGGCTGGCAGGATGCAGTGGGACAGACTGCACACCCTTGGGCCAGCTGCTTCCCCTGGAGCCTGTAAGATGCCAACAACTCTGTCCCCACCTCACACAACTGTTCTAGGCACCTGGCAAGCGTGTGCCTGTCTGTGTGGTGCTCAGCAAAGCCCCTGCAAGGCACTGCTGGAGGGGACAGGGACAAGCTGGACAGAGGTCCTGCCTCGGGCATTCATGGCCAGCAAAGGAGGTAGGCAAGTGAAACTGCCCTGAACCTCCAAGTGCACAAAACAAGAGTCACGGAGCAGCCCAGCTCACAGCAGGAGACACAAGGAGGGCAGCAGGGCACCACACTAACCATCCCAAAGTGCCCATCTGGGTGCAGAAGTGGAGGAATGTCTGCCAGGGGACGGAAACCATGGTGGTGACAAGCTGGCTCTTCACTCTCAATTATAACTGCATCGGGAACCCCAGGGGTGATCAGAAAGTCCCTGAACTAAATGAGAATATACACTGTGCCAAAACTTGGGGGAAGCAGCTAACATAGTCGTTTGGAAACAAAATCAGAGCTTTAAAATGATTCTATTAAAAAAGACAGAAAACGGGGCGCCTGGGTGGCTCAGTTGGTAAGTGTCTGCCTTCGGCTCAGGTCATGATCCCAGAGTCCTGGGATCGAGCCCCGCATCAGGCTCCCTGCTCTGCTGGAAGCCTGCTTCTCGCTCTCCCACTCCCCCTGCTTGTGTTCCCTCTCTCGCTGTCTCTCTCTCTCTCTCAAATAAATAAAATCTAAAAAAAAAAAAAAAAAAAAAACAGAAAAAGGTTTCAAATGAAGGCCTTGCATTTCCTCAAGAAACTAGAAAAAAGAGCAAATTAAAGCTGAAGTTAGAAGAAAATTAAAAATAAAAATAGAAAGTCAGCAACAGAAATAATAATCAAGCCAGTCTTCTTTGATAAGCTAACCAGAACAAACAATAAAAAAAGATCATAAGCACACCCACTGTCAGAAACGAAAAACAGACCGTAGTACACATCTATACCCTTTTGGTTTAATACAGGAATGAAACCAACAACTTTATGACAATAAATCTGACAATTTAAATGAAATAGACAAATTCTTCCGAAGTTGCAAATTACCAAAACTAGCACCAAAAAATATAAGAAATTTGAGAAGCCCTTTATCAGTTAAAGAAGCTGAATTCGGGCACCTGGGTGGCTCAGTTGGTTAAGCGACTGCCTTCGGCTCAGGTCATGATCCTGGAGTCCCTGGATCGAGTCCCGCATCGGGCTCCCTGCTCAGCGGGGAGTCTGCTTCTCCCTCTGACCCTCCCCCCTCTCATGTGCTTGCTCTCTCTCATTCTCTCTCTCTCAAATAAATAAAATCTTTAAAAAAAAAAAAAAAAAAGCTGAATTCATAATTAAAAACTTTTCCACAAAGAAAACTGCAGATCCAACTGGTGAGTTCTACCTAATATTTAAGAAACTGTATAAACTTTTATGAACTTCCAGAAAATAAAAAAGAGAACAAGTAACTCACTTTACAAGGCTGACACGACCCTGATACCAAAACCTGACAAAAACACATCAAGAAAAGAAAATTACATATAAACATCCCCCATGAACACAGACACAAAAACCCTTTAGAAAACATCAGCAAATATCCGGGCCCTTGGGATTTAGCTGAGGAATGCAAGATTGGTTTAAAACCTCTACACAGGGGCGCCTGGGTGGCTCAGTCAGTTAAGCGTCTGCCTTCGGCTCAGGTCATGATCCCGGAGTCCTGGGATCGAGCCCGGCACCGGGCTCCCTGCTCCACAGGAAGCCTGCTGCTCCCTCTCCCACTCCCCCTGCTTGTGTTCCTGCTCTCGCTGTCTCTCTGTCAAATAAATAAATAAAATCTTAAAAAAACAAAACCAACCAACCACACTGAAAAGCCACCCGATCAGAAGACTGGATGCGACGTGGCTGGCAGGAGCGAAAGCCTCTGGGGAGGGCAGGCCGTCCTGCACAATCTGCCAAAATCACCCACACACAACGTAGACCCAGCGGCCCCCTGTTCTAGGAGCCACAACCGCAGACGTGCTCACACACACAGGATGACCGAGGCCCGCAGACAGCCATCACTCAGAATGGTTTCCATCGATGGCGGATGACCTAAATCTATGCCCACCGACCTGGTCTGGTGAAGATGCGCTCCGGAGCAGCTTACAGAGGAATACCACGCAACCCCGACACAGATAACGAAGGATCCAGAAGCTCTTCACACTCCGATAAGGACGATAAGGAGTAACCTCCGAGATGTTCTTGTCAGGTGAAAGCAGCTGGTGTGGGTGGGTGTGCGTCACACCCGGACTCGTGTCACCGACAGGGGGAAGGGTCTGCGTAAGTGCAGGTCTGCTCATCTGCACAAGAGACATCTCTGGGTTGGGAGCCCCCTGAGAATCGGCCACAGTCACTGCCTCGGAGCGACCGGGAGAGGCTAGAAGCCAGCTTTCTTTGTACTGCCAACCCTTCCAACAGTGGTGTGCATGCTGTTCCTATGAAGGGCTGGAGCGTAAATACTTTTGGTTTTAGTAAGACACGTGGTCTCTGCCTCAACGTCCCCACTCTGCCTTGTACCATGAAAGCCACCAGGGACAATAAACAGACAAATGGGGCGTTGCTGTGTCAATACAGCTTGGTTTAGGAAAAAAGGCTGCCAGTGAAATTGGCCCCTGGCCCTAGTCGGCCAACCGCTGCTCCAGAACCTTCTGAATTCCAAACCACAACAGCAGGTAACCTATCTAAAAAGCAAACACAGGGGCGCCTGGGTGGCTCAGTCATTGAGTGTCTGCCTTCGGCTCAGGTCATGATCTCAGGGTCCTGGGATCGAGCCCCGTATCGGGCTCCCTGCTCAGCAGCGGAGTCTGCTTCTCCCCCTCCCCCTGCTCATGCTATCTCTCTCGCTCACGCTCTCTCTTTCAAATAAATAAAAATCTTTAAAAAAAAATAAAAGTAAAAAGCAAACACAATTCGGATTTGAAACCAGCCGAGACTCAGAAGCCAGACCACCAGGTTCATAACCCAGCTCTGCCCAGGGCACACATCCCTACCCCCACCCCAGGCTGGGTGCCTTCCATCCCCAGGACCCAGTTCTCGGGGCGCAGAGCTGGGCGTGAGGCTGGAGCTCAGCAAGAGGCAGCTGCTGTAACCACCAAGCTGCCGCCACCAATTCACGCTTGTTTGCCGAGGGCCTGGCGAATCCCTGCGCGGTCCTGGTTGGGGCCCTTGAGGAGGGCCGTCTAATTGGGGGGGTGAGGGGGCCCTCAGGCCACCTGTAGACATGCCCAGACCTGCCCTAAGAGCCAAAGGGCAATTATTTCCGACGGGGCGGGGCGGGGGGCGCTCACCATACCCAAGCTGGGCTGCGGCGGCTGAGCGGGAAGCCAATCCCACCTGCTGGCCAGGGAGCTCCATCCCCAGAAACAAGGCAGGCAGGTGAGCGCCATCATGGGAGGCCAAGAGTCTGGGGTCCCTTCCAGGGCTCCCCCTTCTAGATGACACCACCGTGGGGACAGCGTTCGCATTTTCTGCTGTGCCATGGGCCCCGGGTGGCTGACTTCCCTCAGGAAGCCAAGTGGCCAGTGGGAGGTGAGCCGCCCCCTCGGCCGGGACACAGCATACCCTACATGGTAGGAGGGGGGTGGGGGTCCCCCAAATCCAGGCCTCCATCGTCCACTGCCAACGGCAGCTCCACCCTCTCGGCTGTTCAGGGTTGGGCCGTGGGCAGCATCCACGACTCTCGGCACCCCCTGTCCCCCCAGCATCAATTCCCAGTTGGCTCCAATTTCAAAACACACTAGCAAGGTCCCTCTCCCACCACCCCTACCCCTCCGATCAGTACACTGACCCCTCGATGGCCCCCCAGCTCCCCCAAGTTCACCACCTGCCACTTGAGGGATGCTGTCCCCACCCCAAGTGGCCCTGATTCCACAGCAGCCACCCAGGCCACCTCCTTGTGTTCCCCAAGTGCCAAGAACATCCTGCCTTGGGGCCTTTGCACTCGACATCCCCTCTTCGAGAACATTCCTCCCCCAGCTACTTAGATGGCCCTGATGTCTCTGAAGTCTGCCCAAACTCCAGCAGAATGACAGACTGGCCTGAGCGCTTTTATTTAAAAACTGCAAGCCCCCCATAGCCCCCTGCAATCCTGGTACTGCCTGTGTCTCCTTGCCCGCTTCATTTTTCTCTAGAACTTTCACCTCCTAAGAATCAACACAATTGCCCAGTGTCTTTGGCTCGTCATGAACACTGAACCAACCCCAAAGTACCTCTGCCGTGTCACATAGGCTGCCACAAAGCCATGGGGGCCCCGCGTGGGCTAGGACGAGGTACCCACCCCAGGCCTCGGAGCCCCCCAGGGACTGAAGGGAGGGAACCCCCTGCTCTCAGGTCTTCTGGGAGGACTGGGAACCAGCCTCTGGTTCAATCAAGACACTAACAGAGGAG